TAAAATGTGTAAAATAATGTCTTCAAAAGCTAGGTGTATTATGTTGTAACTAGTAAAAGCTAATACAGAAGAAAACATATTTTATTAAGGTATCTGAATGTACTAACAACTCACTAAGAGAGTTTGACAGTAAACCGCTACTCTATATGCAGCAGTACTTATACTGTCATATTGTCCATCTTGCAGGCAACCACACATAAAAAAACCAAAGCAGCTCTTTGCACAGTACGCCCCACCTCACTCCATTGGTTACCTGCGCATTTTAGGGCTTGCACAGAAGAAGAGCAAGTAGGAACTTAATTACAATACTAAATATGCAGCTAAAATATTCTTAAAAGAATTATCCAAAGACCATCAACATTTTTATAAAGTCATTTCTTTCTTACACGTTAGAGAAACAGTAAAACTAAGAAACATTAAAACTGACAAACACCTAAAACCAAAGGGCTAATCCTGGCTCTGATCTACTGATTATAATAATATAATTACCTTAAATATGGCACTTGCACAATGCATCTGAAGCTCCTCATGTTCACTACTCAGATTTTTCACAAGGTTCTCAATCATTCCTTCTGTTCTTATTGCAAGTCTGTAACTTGGCTAAAAAGATAAACTGCATCTTTTAAATCCTGTATATTAACAGTTAATAACACTAGTCACAATAACAATACAGTACCACCATTCTAGGCTTTGATACTGAGAAGTCTTGTACTTTATTTTAAGCATAAGTCATCTGCATTGCCTTGAAAATACTATTGATGTTCTCAAAGTTAATCAAATACATACATTCTCTGCAGTGCTCTTCAAATCACCTGTAAAAGCAGGTGCTGCAATGCCTATTTTGTAGCCACCTGGCTTAAACATAATTCAGAATATTCTGAAAGGTTTCCAGACTCCCTGCTCAGAGTCAAGGAAGAAAATGATGCTTCAGAATGGGATCAAGAAGTACCCATTCACTTTATCGAGAGACAGCAGCCAAAACAACAGACCTATTCCTAGAACAAGGTTAGAAAAACATGTTCTGAGAATTAAAAAATTTTTGTCATCTTTTCTTCCAAATTTTAACCTACAGACATTGTAACAGGGAACCATTATTCAAAAGGGGAAACATCTGTATAAGAGATGTATTTAGATGTATTTTCAAATTTGGCCAGGTAAGAAATCCTCAAAAACTTCACCTTTTCAATATAGACTTACTGAAGCTAGAATCTGCCCAGTTGCTGTCTCGTGGAGGACACATAAACTTGTGTAGTTCAAGAAGCTAATTTTGAAAATACAAAGTGTTTATAACATAAAATCTTTTGAATAATCATTGTCTTCCATGTCTCAAATTCACCAAGCTAACATGTAAATTTTTGACCTTAAGTGCAATGCACCTTAATTTCAAATATGATTCCACAAATGGAGAAATAACCATTCATCTTATATGGCAATGGCAAAAAACACTTGTATTCAAATTTAAAAACAGAATATACTCAAAGTTGTGAAATCTGCCAAGGAAATCTGTAGAAAAATCACATATATTCCTTTCTTCTTTTTGCAATCAATCAGACACTATCTTATGCAATTCACAAGGACATTGTAAACCACTCTTCCCTGCACTGCATTGGATCTTCTTGGCCACACCTATAGGTTAGCTTTGTAGAATTTAAATGTACCAATTAACCAGAATATAGCATCTTAAGTTGCCAAATTTGTCAAGTATGATGGAAAAAAATGAGAAAAATATTAAACTGATTATGGATTTCATTTCTATGTATTTTCTTTCACAAACTACTCCTAGCCTTTTAAATAAAAAATATATGGTCTCTACATCATTACAAGCTGTGAACCTCTCAAAAATATTTTGACCACACAAAGCATCTACTTCCTGATGGGATAAGTGCCCTGGTTCTAAGTGACAGTCAAATGTAATGCTTCCTTTTAGTAGCCAATTGTTTCAATGATTAGAAATAACTTAGCTATATTACTTACCTCTGAGGCACATTCTTGTAGTGTCCCCACTACTGGGGTTAACATGTTTGCATGTGAACATTTCAGCCATCTGGCTAATAACGGAATGCCACCAGCTTTACGGATTGCTTCTTTATTTTTGGTGCTTTTGCTGCAGCTCCAGAGTGCCAAAGCCCCACAGCGTGCTATTTCAGTATCTTTTGTTTGGTATGGTGTTAAACTGGTTGATCCCACTGAAACATATTCCAACAGCCCAACCTAAAAAAATCCGTTTTTTAAATTACTGACAGGGAAGTTTGATATTATACTGATTTTTAACGATGGTAAACACTACCACAAGAATCATGTATACAACACAATGTATTTTTTGACAAAAATATGCATATGACAAGGGTACAAATTTTAATGTCTGCTTACCAATCTCTTGATACCTCCATGCCGCCTTACTGTCCTTCGTGCTTGTCCAAATCTAGCAACATTAGCAATTGTTTCAGCTGCCAAACATTTTAAATCTTTATCTGGAGAGTCCAATATTTTCACCATGATCTGTAAGCCCCCAAGATCTGCAATCGCATGTCTGATCAGTGTATTTTGACTAATTTCCCTCAGGACTTTTAATGAACCAATCTAAATAATGGAAGATAACAGAAGTTAAAACATTAATTACATATACATAAACAGAATAATTATTTAAAATGCTGGTTTATCTAAAACATTTTATCTTTTCAATTGAATCAGAAGAAAAGAAGCAAAGTGAAAGTCAAAGAAATCTATTTTTTCTAAAAAATCATTGAAATCGAGAAAATACAGAAATGAGAAAAGACAGAAATCCATTTTCTTTATACCATATAACTTTGAAAATTGAAAAAATATTCTAATAGAAAAGGCTTATTCACTGCTTTATTCGACAAAGCTACTTACCTGACATTTAATTTCTTCTGTATCGAGTAAATTAACTAACACTTCAAGACATCCAATGTCTCTGATGGCCAGCTGACAAGTTTCTTGAGCCAAATTGAAATCTCTCATTGAACACAATGCAATTACAGTAGCTGTTGGATTACCTCCCTAAAATAAAGCAAATAATTAACAAATGTGTAAAGTGCGTTTAATATAAAACTTAATCTCTTCCACTAGTACTATTACAACGACTACTAAAGAAGAAACACTTTACATTATTTTGATTCTATGGTGTTAAATAATGTAGACATAGTAAGAAATGGAATTATTGATAAAGTCTGCAAATGGTATAAAGATTGAAGTGAGAGTGAATAGCACAGGTGACAAATGACTAATATGGCTTGCTGTAAATGGACTAGTAAATTAGGCAATCAAGTACTGTGAGTTTTATATGAGTGTTTGCAGGCAGTAAAAGAACACACAGTGAAGATACAGATATTTCAGAGAAGTTACCCACTTTCTCTGCATTGGTATTCACTCTGGAAGAAACCAAAGAGATTCCAACAGGAATCTTCCATTGTGGACATTTCAGAGGATTTTTCTGAAACTGAGGCCACTGCAGAAAGCTTTTATAAAAAAACCCTGACATTGTAAACAATAACAAATTGCCATTATTAGATAATATTCAATTGAGTTATAAAGGAAACAGGGTAAAACAGTTGAGTCAGTAGAAGTGGTTTGTATCCTCTCACTTCAAACTGCCCTGTTACCAATGTCCTGGGAAAGAACAAATGTTATGTTAATTTTGAAAAGAGTTCAAGGATTATCCAAGGCCTTTTAGCCAAAGATCTGTGCTGTACAAACTGGTAGACTGTAATAAAGAACAGATTTAGCAGACATCTGTCTAAATACGATATTCTCGCAACAATATTATATACTTAGAGTCATCATGGATCTGTTAAGGGAAGTCCTACCTTACAAAACTCACCAAGTTTGCGGCAATGGTAATCTAGCTGATATGTCTAACTGGATGCCATAAGGATTTTGACAAAAGTCCCTCCCTGACAGCTTTTAAAGAAACTAAGCCACTACATTATAAGAGGAAAAGTCATTGCATGGATTGAAAAAAATGGCTAAAGAATAGGAAACTGAGGATAGGAGCAAAAATTCAGCTCAATAAAGGGATGTGATTTAGTGAGTTCCATGGATCTGTGTTGAAGTTATGCAACGCAACATACTCATAAACACCCTGAAAAATAGAAGGACTAGTTAGTGACAAAGTTTGCTGATGATATTATAATTCAAGGCCAGTTGTGACAAACTGCTAAAAAACTTTAAGAGGGCAATAAAACAGCAAATGCGAAAATGAGAAGTGATGCACACCAGAAAAAACAATCCTAACTCCACAGATGAAATGATAGCTTTTCAGCTGACCATTAAAAATTAGAAATGATATCTTGAGGTTAGGGTAGATGGCAATCAAAAAACAAATGGAATAGCAGAACTTATTCGGAAAAAACAGTAAACAGAGAATGTCACTATACCACAGTATAAACCCATGGTTCACATACACCTTAAAAACTTCATGCAGTACTGCAGGCGCAGTTTCAGGAAGGTTACTATAGCACTGGAAAATTTTCAGAGGAGAGCAGCAAAGATAATCCAAGGGTTTTTTTAGTATAGAAGAGGGATGCCTGAAGGAGTTAGATAGAGGTCTACAATGTTAGGAATGGCATTGAGCATGATAGATGGGGATTGGCTGTCGAATGTCTCTTTTAATAAAGATACAATCTCTTTTAATAATGAGGTATAATAGGATTCAGGTTAAAAATAAATAAAGGAGTTGGTTCTTCAAATGAGGTAACTGACTAGTGGAACTAGTTGTGAAAGGATTCGGTGAAAGTTAAAAGTTTTCATTGAAGGTCAGTAAAAATAATCAATATTCAATTTTCAACTCCTTGAGCTAAAAACAAGTGGCAGCTTGGAAAGTATTAGAAAGCTGTGTGTTTGCCTTGTTCTTACTTTGCCCTGGGCATTCATTTATGGTCCTGGGTCTCTTCTGCCTTGGTAGAATATGAACAGGGTTTCACACTACTATAAGTTATGCAGTCAAGTTTCCCACATTTGTGGAAATCAGAGGTCAGGACATCTGGAGGGCAAAAGATGAGCTTTAACCACAGAAAACTTCCAACCCGATCACTGATCTTTTGATCTGCCCAATACAGTTTCTTTTATGTCTAAATGTAAGGTCATACATTTACGAATAATGAAAGCAGGATATAGCTCAATGTAGGAGTTCTATCCTGGAAACCAGAGCATATAAAAAGACTTGGGATGTTGAATATGAATTTGAGATTACAGTGTAACATTTGATTAAAAGGGTGAATTTTGGGATGTGTAATTGAAAGTACAGGATAGGAACATGGGTATTATGTCTTCTAAGGCACTTGTGAAAGTACTACTACTGAAATTCTGTGTCTAACTTTCCCTTTCACAGTTCTAGAAGGAAAGAGAAAATATGGAGACGATTCAAAGAAGAGAAACAAAAATTATCATAAGCCTGGAAAATAGTTGCATTAAGACAGACATGAGAAGCACTATTCAGCTTATTAAAAATGTAAATTAAGGTATGATTTATTCACAGTGAATAAATAAATCTATGAGGAATAGGAACGTGTTCACAGAGAGCTCTCCAGTCTAGCACAGAGGTCTGATGATCTGAAGTTAAAGGTACTAAAATTTAGATCAGGAGTAAAGTGCAAGTTTTCCATTGTGTAGTTAATTATTCTTTGGAAGAAATTACTTAGAGTCATGGTAAGTCTTCCAGCAGTGGAAATTTTTCAGTCAAGACTGGATGTTTTTCTAAAAGATAAGCTCTATTTCACTCACAGCTACCAGACTAAAAGCAAGAAAAAGATCAAAGAATACACCCTATGGTATGCAGAAAGTTAAAACATATGATAACAATGGATTCTTTTGAACCTGTAATATAGATTTACAATTAATCAAATCAGGGATGAACCCAGATGCACAGAAATTAGGAGGGCTGAGCTACCATGTAGCTGCAACAGAAGCTGGAGGGCATGAGCAATGCCAGCCAGTGCTAATGTGGGAGTTACAACTTAGAGCACCTAGTAAATCAAACCATAGTATCCACCTCCCACATGTCTCTGAATTCCAGCGAAGCTTTGGCTCCCATCCAGATCTGAACTGTGCTGCTCAAGCCCAACTCTTTCAAATGACAGTTTTGAAACTGTAAAGGACTTTGAGCCAACCCTTTCCAGAGGGAAACACTTTGCTAAATTGTGCACATCAGACTGAAATACAGAATATTGAAAAACTGAGTAATGTTTGCCAATATGAAACAAGTAGATCTCACAAAACCAGAACTTTTGCAGCATATTTCTTAAATGTAAACAGAAACAGTAAGACAAATACAGTAAAAAAGTCTTTAAATTTAACATGCTTTTGAATAGATACCATAAATGTAGTAGAGAATTGCAAGTGAGAAAATACACCCAAAAGGAACGGGAGAAAAACACTTTATAAAGTTTCAGATCAGTAACTGACATCAGGCAACTACTTTGCTAATCAATAAAGTGTATATGGATGGCAATTCATAGATAATTTGTACTTAAATTTCTTGTAACAATAGATAACTGCATAGATAACAATTAGATAACAATTGCTTTGTATTATAAAAATTTTGCAACAGGTGTTTAAAGAGAAAACTTGTATTTTTATTATTTTCATAAATGTAAGCAGTATATCACTAACGGGACAAGTGACGGCTCTTTTTTTGAGGACTGCTTCTTCTACAATGAAACTACACTTATACATAACATAGTAATCCATAATTCACCTACCTTGCATGCATAATGGTTGCCATATAACATCTAACATGGACTAGGTTTTTAAAAAATAAACAACTTTTAATTCTCTTATATTAAATAAAAAATAGAACTGTATATAAAGTATATACATGCATTTTATTTTTTCAGCATCAAAAACGTACACACCACTTTAAATGTTTTTACAGTAAAACCACAATAAAATATCTTTCATATGTACTGAAGCATCAGTTCTACAAAATAAGAAATATTACTGATGGTTTCAACAATTATTTTTTGTTTCTTGAAGTTATCATTACAGTGAATCTTGCAGTACTTACAGCACAGATTTTAACATGCATGGAAATAGTTACGTCTCCATTAAGTTAACATAAAATCTGCATCATGTTCTTATACCATTTGAAATCTGATATGTTGGATGCAAAATAAACTACTGGCAGATCAACGATCAATTTTAAGGCTTGAAATTAAACACAGATTTAGTTTAAAATGTGCCTCTCTTCCTATATAGTGGTATAACGTATATATCCACAAATTAAATGAAAATAAAACACTATCACTGCTACACTATCAGTAGAACATCTTCTGTGCAATGTATGTGTAATGTCTCTATTATGATACTCAGAGCTCTCAACTGAGAATTACAGAACTATAAAGAATGTGTAGCAAAGCCTGTCTTTTGCTTTTATTTTTGAGGTGTTTAACAGACCACATTTTTAATACAATAATGCACAGATTGATATAGTTAAAACTTTTAATGTATGTATACAAAGGTAGCTGTTTTAGACGATGATAAGATTGTATATAAATTTGGCATCTGTGAGTCCAACCTTACAAGTTTAGTCACCACTATACTAGAAACATCCTTATTTGGCAATGTTTCTCCAAATATGAGTACATGCATCAGTCCATTCTGAATGCACAACAAGATGGAAGATGCATAAACTTCTGGCTGTATTCAGGACCCTTTTCACTGGCTTGCTTAGTGTCCTATCTTTCTGCATTTAAATATCCTTGGGCCTTCAGAAATTCTTCCTCATGATCTCAGGGAATGCTTGATATTGCCTCCAAAGTATTCAAGTACCTTCTGACACCTTCTGGCAGAAACGCATTCAAATACAGCATGTCTAAGACACACTGCTCAAAGTTCTAGTAAAAGATGTCCTGTAAAATGGCAGGGCAGTTAGATCTAGAAGATCTTTAAAGGTCCCCTCCAACACAAACCATTCTGATTCTATAATCTCAAGTTATGGTGGCTCCTCAACAACAGTAGTGGCAGAAAACAGCTACCCACTTATCTACTGGTGCTAATACTTG